TCACAGCAGTGTTTCAGGCTATTTTTGAATAGTGCGAAGGAGTTTCGGCGTCGTTTCGTGAGCGTCAACGAAAAATTGATCTCCTGGTACACCCCAGACTCCATGGAACGTTTGAAACAGTTGTCTTCACCTAGTGAAGCTGAATCAAACAAGGTGAACCTTTTTTTGGTATTCACAAAGTATCATTTGCTAATGATAACAGGGTCTGTCGCTCAATTGTAGAAAAACGGCGGAGAAAAAAGTAGTTAGAAGATATGGTAATAAGATACATCCTATTTTCTATCAAATATTATTTTATTTGGCATTGGCTCAATAATATAAATAAGTGGATAAGCCACATTTGATTGAAAATTGTGGTAGATAGAAAAGATCCTAAAATAATTTTTGCATTAATTTCTGAAAACAGCCTCTTTCAAGTCCTTTTCAATATTGATAATTTTTTGAAAAATGTTTACTTTTGGTTTTTCTTTATATTTATCGCTACTTATGTGAAATATTTTAATTCGAAACGCAACGCGATTGAGTGTAATTGCTTTAGCAAATTAGTATTAAAACTTAATTTACATATGTACGCCCATGCTTTAAAACAATTGAAACAGGAGCATCTACCACAATCTCTTGCATGTACTATATTTTGTTTGCACCAATCTGAAGAAGGTGAGGTAATATATCAAAAGAACAATCTTACAGAAATTTAGTTACTTTGTATTTTCTATATTTTACCTGATATATGGTAATTGATTAAAACTCATCATAAAAATTTAATACTAAAGCTACGACGCTCACAAATTGTGTGTGTTTTAAACGTTTAAGAGCAGTAACTTTCTCAAATTTGAACATGTTTCTTCCTTATTTTGAATTTAGTTGATGCCGTATAAGCTTTACTGGGTGTTATTTTCAGCTTTCCCATACTATTTTGTGCTTCCGATTGGTTTTGGTTGATACTCATAGTAGTTGGCAGTATCGAATTTCGAACTGTTGATTATGTTACGGATATTTGCAATGTTGTTGTTTTATTGGTTTAATTTTTGTTGCCGATGCTTACCAAAATCAATGCAATATTTTCTTAACTATAATTTCCCATTAGTGGATTCTCTAGGTGTTATAGGAAGACTTAAGTCTATAATTTAAATAGGAGTTATACCGACGTTGTTAAGATAAATATTATTGTATTAAAAAATTTATGTACTGTTACATAACTATTTATATTTGTTTTAAGTTAGGTTTTAAGGTGAACAAGCATGGTTAAGAGAATCTTGCCGTACTTGTCTCGAACTGACGAACAGGAAATTCGTTTTCCCCTGTCGGATTACTTTGTGATTTGTATTACTTTGTAATGTAATGTACTGTTACTCTGATAAATAAATAAATAAATCGCACAAACATGTGAGCAGAAACTATATAGCGGTATAGGTATACATATGTATGTAAATGGAATGCGAGGCAATTCAAGAGCAAATAAAAAAATTGGAATTGAAACATGGAATAGTAAAATAGACCTAAAAATTAAATATAATATTAGGGTGGGCACAAATTTACAAACATCACCGAACCGTGAATCAATCTGATTCACCACAATCAATGTCCATAATAGCAAGCATGGTTAAGAGAGTCTTGCCGTACGTGTCTCGAACTGACGAACAGGAAATTCGTTTTCCTCTGTCGGATTACTTTGTGATTTGTATTACTTTGTAATGTAATGTACTGTTACTCTGATAAATAAATAAATAAATCGCACAAACATGTGAGCAGAAACTATATAGCGGTATAGGTATACATATGTATGTAAATGGAATGCGAGGCAATTCAAGAGCAAATAAA